ATTTTTGGTCTCAATTTGATACTTTTAGGAAAACTGTGGCAACCAACAATTTCACCCAATCAAAAATTTACTAATGGCGCAGTACTGGCGCAGTATTGGCTACCAGAGTTGGTACCAGTATTGGTAACCACTACTGGTTCAGTACTGGCCGAGTACTGGCAGTTTTGTAATTTCTTGTATACGAAAAGAAAGCTTTAACTGTAACAGAGATAAGTTTCACTCCAAGTAATACTTTTTTGGTATACTTAGGAAAAAGTGTTTGAAATTTTTAGTAACCCAACACAAATTAAATATTAATTAAATTAGTCAACTAATTAATATTTTATTATATAAAATCGAAAACACAAAGAATTTTCATTCCTTCTTATAATATATATTGCAAATTATTATTTTAAAAAATCAAAAAATAAACATAAAAATATGTTTATTATAAAACCAAAGTTTTTATAATAATATATAAAAACAGTTCAGTAAAAATAAAAATGTATATAAAATAATTATAATGTATATAATTATGTAATTAACTATTTAATTATTTTATTATTCACTTTAATTTATTAATTATTATATCAAATATAAATAAATTAACATTGAATTCAATTCAATTTATGTAAAACAAAATTAGTTTACAAATTAACTCATCACAAATATATAATGATTTAATAAATAATGAATACTAAATTCCTGAAATTAATTATTAAAAAAATTATCTAAATTATTTTTAAATTAACATTAAATTTTTGTTTATAATTCACTTTTGGAAAAAAAAACTGAAGAATAACACCCAGAAACAAATTTCAATAATTTTATTGACCATTGAAATATATAAGTTTGTAGGTTTAACTATTTTTTATAATTTCTATTAAGAAAGGTTAATTATATATTTTTGATAATATAACATTTGTGCAATTTTACTTGCGATTCTATTTAATTTTTTAAATTAAATTTTATATTATAAATTTTATTTTAAAAAATATTAATTTTTTATAAACAATTTTATTTATTTTCAGTTTGATCGTTTAAATTTTTTTTTTGATTTATTGCATATCTGAAAACAAAAAGAAAATCTTGCAAAATGTTTTAGACTTGGTCTCAGGAAACTTTTTTGTTTAAATAATTTTACCCACAGACAAGCAAAATAAAGTACATTTTAATTTTGAAAAATAAAATCAAGTTGAAAAAATTTTGATGAACAAAATATTTAAACAAAAAGATTCATCGGTTTCACTCTAAAACATTATAATTATTTTATAAACATTTTTATTTTACTCAATTGTTTTTATATTTTATAAAAACTTTGGTTTTATAATAAACATATTTTTATATTTATTTTTTGATTTTTTAAAATAATAATTTGCAATATATATTATACTTAATAAGGAATAAACATTCTTGGTGTTTTCGATTTTATATATAATAAAATATTAATTAGTTAGTTGACTAATTTAATTAATATTTAATTTGTGTTGGGTTACTAAAAATTTCACACAAATAAATTAAAGAAAAAAAATTATATAAAACGCATAAAAAAATTGAAAAAATTTATTTTTCCGAAAAAAATTTTATATTTTAATTCAATGTCGCAAATTTTCATTAATTACTTGAGTGATTAAATTTACAAAACGACATGTTTGCTCTAAACGTGAGCACTGAACCAGCTGTGCACATTAAATTTCAAAGGTCGAAATCTGCACGCTTCTCGAAATGCAAAATTGTAATTAAAGGAAATTTACTTGAATTCAAGAGAGGAATGTTTTTCGAATTTCAAAGAATGACTTTTTTATGCAAATCACTTTAGTTGGAAATTTTTAATAAATTAGTTTATTTTTCATTTCTTTTTTTAAAATATATAGAGAAATATTCTATTTTCTAATTATTTTTTTTTCTTCAAATTTTTAAAAATAAAATAAAAATATTGAGTGGAAAAACATTTCAATGATTAACAAAAGTAGTGAAATTTTTAGAATTATTTTTTTTTTGCAATTAACTTTAAATTCAATAAAAGTAAAGTAGTTCTAGTAGGATAACTTAAAAAATTCTTATAATTTTGTTCTAAGTGAAAAAAGCAATTTTTATTCAGACACGGTAAAAATTTTAATGCCAGTAGTAAAAGCCAAATTTCGTTAGAAAGAAATACAAAATTTTTCATTTGTAACACTAGTAATAATCTGTTTTAGTTACACATAAAAATTGTTGTAAATTACATATAAGTAGTAAAAGTCAATTTCAGTCATACAATTGAAAATTCTCGAAAATTTACAATTTTATTATTATCAGTGGAAAAGCAAATTTTAACCAGATATTCTTTTAATTTTAATCTCAGTAGTAAAAGTCAGTTTCAGTCAACTTTTTTTCAATAATAATAAAATATATTTTTAAATTCTATTTTTATAGAAAAAAAGCAAATTTTTGCCATTGAGAAAAATAATTTTTGTTATTCACTTTTTTTTAAGTTTATTCAAAAAAAAAAAATATATATATAGTCAATGCTTAATTTTTATTTTTCATTTCACACTCGCTCTGGTAACGTGAAACATAAACCCTGGGATTTGTATAAAATCATGGAAACGCGATGTTCGCGAGAGTGATTGAAAATTCTGTTTTCCAACACGGAAATGAAGACTTTTTTTTTAGGAGTATCGGTCAGTATTCACGCGCTAGAAATTGGAACACAGTCGCTATTTCCGAAACACGTTAATCATCAATTGGCATGAGGCGCATTCGTCCAGTGTTAAAAAAAAAAAAGAAAACATGCTCCCAACTAGATAATGGCTACTATATAAAAGTCAATATCAAATTTTAAACTATAATGGATTTACAACCAAAAGCATAAAAATGTCATTCGTCTAAAAACTATATTCATTATCGCGGAAAAAAAAATTTTTCCTCGTTAACATCAATCATTATTTTTCAATCGAAGATAAAAATAAAGAAAACCGTGACATATAATCGGAAAAAAATTACGAGTTAAATGATTTTATTTTTCAAAAATATTTTTAAAAAAATATTTTAAAAAATATAAAAAAATATGACCTGCTTTCTTTTATAATATTTAAATTAAACAATATACTGAGAGTGACGAAAATCAGAATTCAATTGGAGGAAATTATTTTCTTAAACAAATGCGAGCTTCCTTCAGAAAGAGAAAACAAAATCAAAATATTATTAAAGTAGAATAAATAACGAATCAAATAATAAAATGTCAAATACACAATAAAAAATAATTTTAGAGTTTAAGTTTTTGATTTTGTAAATAAAAAAATATTACCCAATTAATTTTTTTTCTATAAGCAATAATTTAATTTATTTTCGTAATAGAATTTCTAGCTTTATGATCACGAGACGAATTTTTTTTTTCTATTTTGGCAAAATAGTAAACACAATTTTTATAGACAAAAACAAATTTTTTTAAGATAAAATTTAAATTTTGCAAATTATATATTTATAAGTAAAAAAAAATTGAAAAAAGCAGAAATTTTATATTCTCAGTTTTCGCAGGGAAAGAGTGTTTTTTTTTCTTTGGGCATTGTATATTCTAAAAGACTTTAAAAATTATTTGCTTTATACATAATTATTAGAATTATATAATTTCAGTCGCAAATTTGAATTTTAAATTATTTATTATTTAAATTAATAAATTCTTTTATAGATTCTGTATTTTTCTCTCATATTGTGCGAATAATTTGGCAGTAATAATAATCATCATTTTATGAAAGAAAAAAATGAAAAAATCCTTCTCGATCTAAGTTAACAATATTAGTGAAAATTGAGCCACATTTCACTAAAATTTACATTTAGAGAGTTTATTAACTATTTTTTTTAAAAAAAGTATTTGTGCTGGAATTCAAGAATTGAAAAATCCATTTCAACAAAAAAAATAGTAAAAAAATTTTTTAGTAAAATTTCGCGATTTTTTATATCGTCGATTAGAAAAAGAGTAAAATTCAATTTGCATCAGTAGTTGAAATCCACGTATATTCAGTCGATATAGAAGCGACGTACTTTTTTTTGAGCATAAGCTCTTTTCTTTATTATCCTATTTTTATTACACTGAAAAAAACAAATTTATTTAATTCAAATAATTGATCACTTGACTATTTTCAAATAAATAAATTTTTGTATCAAAAACTTTTTATTAAATAATTTTTATTTGTATCAAATAATTTTTATGAAATAATTTTTTTTTTAATCAAATAATTTTTATTTGAAATAAATAAACTAATAATTTTTGTATTGGAAGCAATATTAACTAAAATCAAAATTATTTAGTCCAAGAAAATATATTTATCTGACAATAGTGTCAAGTAACCGAGTATTTGAATTAAACAATTTTTTTCAGTATTCCTAAAAGTTATATCCTATGACGAATTTTTATTTACAGTTGTGTTCCCACAAACAGAAAACGACTGTAGAATTTTATAGAAGTATTTTTTATCAATGAAGAAAAAATTTGAGCGATTATTAAAATCTTAATTATTAAAAATAATTTATTAAAGCAATTTCTAATTTTCAAAAAAAAAAAAAAAAAAAAAAAAAAAAAAAAAAAAAAAAAAAAAAAAAAAAAAAAAAAAAAAAAAAATACTTCTATAAAATTCTAATTTTTTCTTCAACAAGTGAAGCAATTATATAAATTAAGAAATACTGCTGTTTGGCAAGTGTCTTTGGCGTAATGAGAGTACAATCACAAATTCCCGATTGAGATTGATAAATAATAATAATAAACTATCTAAATAAATGATTTTGAAAATATGAGCCTCGCCTCAAACACGCGTTTCATTATAGGGACTCGATGATGATTGATTGCGTTCAATATCGCCGGGCACGTTAAACGCGACGTTCGGCACCGTTATCGGATCAACTATTTGAGAATGATATTGAGAATTGCTCTGATGAGCGGTGGTGGTTGTGGTTGTGGTCTGCGAATGATGTAAATGAGAGGAAGACGAAGGTGGACCTTCGCTTATGGAAGTTGTCGATGTAAGAATTCGCCGACCGCGTACCTGATATCTCTGTGGATAACAACGACGGCAACATGAAAGCAACATTCTGCTTCGGGATGCTGTACTGTGTGCTGGAGACGTCAAAGGCGATGGGGAACCGGGCCTCTTCGGGGCTCCATTGTACGGCACGTCCATCTCAACGAATTCTCGATCCTGAAACAAAAAAGATAATCAAAAAATTAGCACATTTCGAATTTCCAAAATTGATCAATTTGGTCCATTGTAAAACGGATAAAAATTTTTTTGTTTTAATAAAATTTATTCCTATCAAAATGAGTCGAATAAATTTTTTCTAAAACATATATTTTCTGTGGTATTATTGAGAGTTTATTTTGAAAATTTGGAATTCCAAAATTTTTGGTCCATCAAAGCTCGGATGCTGTTGGTCCTATCAAAAAGTACCTCAAATATTTTTTTTAGGGAACTCTCTAAAAAGCAAATACGAAATACCTGTAGTATTTACTAGAATTATTTCGAAAATTTAGAATTAGAAATTTTTTGTCTACTTTTTGGTTCATTGGATGCTGTTGGTTCTTACGAAACATTGATTGGTCCTACTACATATTTTTTCTAAAGCACTATCTTGGGATACCTCCTGTGATATGCTTGAGAGTTTATCTCGAAAATTTTTGCCAATTCTGGTCCATCATAAATCGGATGCTGTATACCCTATTAAAAAGGTTCCGGTTAATTTTCTGTAAAACATTATTTTGGGATATCATGTGTAGTATTTCCGAGAGTTTATTTCGAAAATTTTTTTTCTACTTTGGTCCATTGTAGTTCGGATGCTGTTGGTACCATCCAAAAGTGTCTCATACATTTTTTGTATGAATCTTTCTGGAGAGAGAATATCTGTCGTATTCTCAAGCGTTTATCACGAAAATTTAAAATTCCGAAATAATTTTTCCACTTTGGTCCATTGTAACTCGGATGCTGTTGGTACCAATCAAAAAATGTCCCGTACACTTTTTGTACGAATCTTTCTGGAGAGAAAATACCTGTGTTATTTTTTTTAAATTTATCTCGAAAATTAAAAATTTCGAAATATTTTATTCACTTTGGTCCATTGTAAGTCGGATGCTGTAGGTTCTATCAAAAAATGTCCCGTACACTTTTTGTACGAATCTTTCTGGAGAGAGAGAATACCTGTGATATTCCCGAAAGTTTATTTCGAAAATTTAAAATTCCAAAATATTTTTTCCATTTTGGTCCATTGTATCTTGCATACTGTAGGTCCTATCAAAAAGTGTCCCGTAGATTTTTATACGAATCTTTCTGGAGAGAGAGAATGTTATTCTCTAGAATTTATCTCGAAAATTTAAAATTCTAAAAAATTTTGTCCACTTTGGTCCATTGTAACTCGGATGCTGTTGGTACCAATCATTAAATCATTTACCAATTATTATTAAATTAACTATATTCTGTAAGAATACATTTTCAAAAATAAATCTCCTGTGTTTCATTTGCAAAAACTTCTTTTTTTCCCTCAAATAAAAAATGTAATTTATTTTCTACTCGACGTTTAAAATTTTTTTGATTCATTTCCTCAATCTAAGTTTTTGCAGTTAAGTTTTAAACGTGACATGTTTGAAGAAAATTTCTGATGAGGGAAATGTGATAACTGAATGTGAGAAAACTTTCAAGACTTATTTTGCACAAGTAATTAGAGTCTTGCACAGCCTCCGGGATAACCAACTTTTTTTTCTGACGAATCAAAAAAAAAAAAAAAGAAAAAGAAAAAAAAAGCGGGCCATAACGAGGAGATGGAGCCGCTTCTACGTGTGGTTGAAACGTCAGTCTATGTAATTTAAGGGAAAAAAACCTTTTACTGAGTGTGGTAAATTTAGTACTTAAATGCAAACTTATACATTTCTGAAACACTTTGAATGTGATATAGTAAACAAAGAGCTTTAGAGGACATAGTTATGTCTTTTTAACAGGCAAAATTGCATTTTTCATGTACATCACTTTTATATATTGTGGAAATATAGGAAAACTAAAAAAAAGTTATTAAATTTAAATAGTGGGTCGATTTAAAATATTCTTCTGTGGATTTTTTTTTTAAATTGAACTTTTTTCTAAAAGAAGTAAAAAAAAAACAGCTGTAGTTTAAATTATTATAAAATATTCAAGTTCGTCTATACTGTAAAAAAAATTTAATTCAAATAATCCGTTACTTACTATTACCAAATAAATATTTGTTTATATTAAATAATTACTTATTTATGTCAAATATTCGAAAATTATTGGTTCAGAAACAGTTTATAATTTAATTATTTGGTTACAAAAATTATTTAGTTCAAGTAAATATTTATTTTATTAATTAACCAATCATTTGAATCAAATAAATTTTTTTTATATAAATACAAATTTCCACAATTATAAAAATTTGTTATTCACAGAAATGTTTTATTTGAAGCAAATATAATATATATTTGAGTTAAATAAACGTATATTTGTCTCACAGCCAACTATAGTCTATTTATTTGGCGTAAATAAAATTTTTTATTTAAATTAAATGAAAATTTATTTGAATCAAATAATTATTTATTAGGCTGTAAAACAAATATATAATTTCTCTGTGTGGCATTCACTATATTGAAAAACATATCTAAAACCGTAAAATGTTTTTGACACACACTCAACTAATCCAGGAGAATTTAATTTTCGTTTTTAACGAGTTATTGTTTTTTTTTTTTTTTTTACTTTCTTTCTCTTGTTTTTTACCTCGTAAAAATAAATCTAGCTTCATCGTTTACAATTTGAATGAAAATCCAGTCGGATTTGAGTACATCCCGAAAGCCGTAAAACCTAGATCCATCACCAAGCAGAGGCAAAACGGAAAGAGGTTTTGCAAATAACTTCGAGTTCGCTCGATAGCCTCTCGTTTTCAAGCATCGACGAAGCTACTTGCTCTGGATTCTGAACTTCATTTCAACGATAAAGTATATATCATCAAAAGTAGTTATGTCTACGCGTGGAAGTAGGTATACTTCACATGACAAGATTTCGTTCTCTACTTTTGCTTCAACATTTTCAATTCAAAAAAAAAAAAAAAACTTAATAACATTTTTCCTCGTCTGGCTGGCGTTCTCTAGAAATTGCGGAAATGAAGAAGCCGCGAACGTCTTTTAAACATTTTTATCGTACACTCGACAGTTTGTTATGTAACTGTAAGAGATATAAAAATTTATTTCCCTGCATATGTTTTTTAGGTAGAATCATATGTCTTCTTCCTTTTTTTTTTTTACTCTCATACATTATTATTCGAAGATAAAATTTCATATGTAGAGAAATATTATTTATAAATGAAAAACTAATATATTCTGATATTATAATGGAAGTTCAATTTATGTGATACACTATATATCTTTTGTGGAATGCTTTTCCACATTAGATAATCATACAAATATATCTCACTGACAGATCATAATTAAGAGTCCGTCGGATTTAATTTCATTCTCACTGCGCTTTTGAATTTCATTTCAATTTTTTTTTTTTAATATCAGAGAGAAAGATATATAATTTCGAATGCTACATTTTAATAAATATAATGGACTTTAGTAATGTAATTAGGTTGAAGAAAATGTAAATTATATTCCATAAAATGAAGAGTCTTCAAACAATGCAAAAAAAAAAAAATGTATAAATTAAATAGAAAATATTCACTTTTAAAAAAAATTCGGAATATTTAAATTCACCTTTAAATAAGGTTTCTTTGAAATAACTAAAATTATATTAGAATTAAAATTAGTTGTAATTCGATATAAGTAGAATGTAACAAGATGTATAATATACAAGTAGTAAAACCGGATTTAGTCAGACAAAATTTGATAAAAATTTTCACTTTCAACCTTCTACTTCCAATTTAATTTTTATCATCTCACTTTCACTTTCACCCTTTAACTTTCACTATTTCATTTTTACTGTCACCTTTCTACTTCCACTTTCACTTTAATTTTTATCATTCCATTTCCACTTTCACTTTTTGTATCTCACGCTCTAATTCTGAATTAGTAAATATGTTTACTAATTTGAATTAGTGACTCACATTTTGCTTCTCAATTAGTAAAATTTTACTAATTATTAGTAACTTTTACTAATTATTAGTAACTTTTACTAAGAATTAGTAAAATTTAATTAATTCTAAAGCAAAAAGTGAGTCACTAATTCAAATTAGTAAACATTCCCAGGTGAAAAAATTAACGTTACTAACGTTACTAATGTTACTAATGTTACTAACGTTAGTATCTATAAAAAAATTAAGAGTTTCTAAAATATATTTTCACGGAAACTTTGCCAGTACTTTCCCATTACCACTTTCACTTCCACTTAAACTTTTTATAATTTTCATTCCCATTTCTACTTCTACTTTTTCTAATTCTCATTCCCACTTCCATTCTCACTTCTACGCTTTCTAATTCTCATTTCCACTTCACTTCCACTTTTTCTAATTTTGATTCCCCATTTCCACTTCCACTTTTTTATATTCATTGACACACAGAAAATTAAAAGGAATTAAAATAAGCTGCAACGCTTATTATTTTAATCCAATTTTGCTTATTTTAATACCAAAATGGATTAAAATAAGCAAAATTGGATTAAAATAATATGCGTTGCAGCTTATTTTAATGCCTTTTAATTTTCTGTGCACTTCCACTTTTTCTATTTTTCATTCCCATTCCTATTTCCACTTCCAGTTTTTTATATATTCATTGCCACTACCACTTTTTCTAATTCTAATTCTCATTCCCACTTTCACTTCCACTTCCACTTGTTCCAATTTTCATTCCCATTTCATCTTCCACTTTTTTATTTTCATTACAACTTTTTTATATTTTCACTCCCACTTCCATTCCTATTTTTTAAATTTCCATTACCACTTTCACTTTTTCTAATTTCCATCCATTGTAATTAAAAAACGTGGAAATGGTTGTGTAAATGGAAACTAGAAAGAGTTTTAGTCGAAATGGCAACAGCTAATGAAAATTAGAAGTGGAAAAAATGGGAGTAGAAGTGGGAATGAAAATTAGAAAAAGGGAAGTGGGAATAAAAATTAGAAAAAGTGCAAGTGGAAGTGGTAATGAAAATTAGAAAAAGTGAAAGTGGAAATGAGGATTAGAAAGAGTGGAAGTGGGAATGGAAGTGCGAAT